CGAAGCTGCTGAATTGAAAACCTAGAAGTTTAGGGTGCCTCACAAGATCTCAGCCCCAGTTTTCTCCTTCTCGCTTGTAAGATTTAGAAACCCCTGAGTCCCTACTTTGAATCTGGCAGTTGACCAAAAATGGGTGAGTTTTATGGGGGCTTTTGGCCTCTCAGTCCCTTCTTGATCTTGTTGTTGTTGTTGTTAAGTGCCATCGAGTCGGTTCCGACCCATAGCGACCCAGTACAGGGTTTCCAAGGGGTGTAAATCTTTACAGGAGTAGAAAGCCTCATCTTTCTCCCGCGGAGACCTGGAGAATTGTAGCAGAGAATGGGGTAGTCTTCAGCTTCAGAGAAAGGGTCCCAGTCTTCAGCTACTCTTGTCTCTAGGTGCTATCACCCAGGACCTTAGATTTTTCTGTGGGAGAGGAAGGGTCTCCAGTAATGCAAAACGGTTACCCACTTCCCTACTCCTGGCCCTGGCCCTGGCCCTGGCTCTGTGTGATGAGATCACCTTTCAGGATTTTAATCTTTATCTTAGTCTAGGGGGAGGGGGATCAAGGGGCCTAGCTTCTATCTTAACCCTCTCTCCTTTCTAACCCTCTTCCTGCCCTTTGCCTCCAGGATACCTCCATTTCCACAACCACATCTTCTACAATCTTCTAACCTTCCTAGTCAAACCCTGTCCTCTCACTTCCCTAACCCCCTGCTCCATTTTGGCGTGGGGAGCTCAAAGTGAAAGTGCCCAGAGTCCATTTTTTTGCCTTAAGCCATGACCCTCTCCTTGTCACTTTGCTATTCTACTTACTGTCCCAAATCACCCAAGAGTTCTAAAAAGTCACTCTCGAATGCTGGCGCCCATTCTACTCTCACATCTGACCCTTCCTTAGACTAGGAACCCAAGGTATCTCTGGGTAAGGATTTTAAACAGCACTGTTGCAAAAGTAACCTCTAGGTGAAAACTACTGAGCCACAGGGCTCAGAAACTTCCTTAGGAGAAGAGGGGATGAGGTCTGACTTCTGTCTAATTTAGAAAAGCTCATGTGTATGAATCAGGCTCTCTTGTTTCTCAGCCCAGTGAAGCTCTTTGGATTTTCCCAGGATTTGGGAGCTTGGGATAGGGGCAAGAGAGGAGGTGGTGGTGAGAGGGGTTTGTATTCAGGGAGGGAGGTGTATGACTCAGTTCCTCCCAGGAGCTTTGGTGAGGGACAGGGGACATAGTGTCCTGCCCCAATCCTCCTCTCCACTCCGCCCCCTTGCCCCCAACCTTGGCCAACTCAAACAGGCCCCCTCCTTGTCCATTCTCTGCTCCTGTTTACACCGGGAGCCCCTTAGTCATTCTCTGGCTGGCTTTTCTCCTTTCCCCAATATCCCTCCTCTCTTGGCTCTTTCTGCCCTTATAAGTCCTCTCCCAGTGGCCCCAACACCTCTTGCCTTCCCGCCCACCACGCCTGGCTTTGGCTGGCCCTCTTTTCCTCTGCCCAAGGTTGGGCCTGCACTTGGGGTTCTCCCATAGTTGGAGCTACTTCATCATAGCCCTTTAAGCTTGAAATCTGGCCTAGAAAGGCCAGCCAAGGGGGTTCCCTAGAGGTCATCAGTTCACTTCTCTCCTTTAGAAGAGGAAATGAGTATAGATAGACAAAGTGACTTGTCCAAGGTCACACTTACTAGCCTGTTAGTAGTGGAACTGAGTTTTATCTCCAAACCTCTCCTCTATGTCCATTGCCCCTCTCAGTGCTTTGTCTCTTCTCTGTCTTGTTTATCTCTCAACTTGTCTCTGGTACAGCCTGTGTGTCTCCAAATGTCTCTGATTTCTCTCAGATCTGACCTTTCTGGTACCCTCAGTTCCTTTGTCTCTCAGTAAGAATGATTTGCTGTGAAGACTGACTATCATTAATCATGGTGGATTCCACAGAAAGGGTGAAGGACAAAGGCAGAACACTCACCAGGCTCCTGTTGTCACCAGCCTGCCTGCCCTGAAGGCTAGAGTTTTAGAATCAGAAAAGTGAATTTCCACAGAGATCAGGATACAAGTGCAAGTTGTAAAGCCAGGAGCCATGCTGAGTTGCAATAGGGCTGGAGAAAGATGGGAATATTAATAATGGTTTGTATAGCATATGGAAAAAGCCCTGGTGGCAAAATAGTTAACACTCAGTTGCTAACTGAAAACTAGGTGCTTAAAAACCATCAGTGACTCTGCAAGAGAAAAAACCTGGCAATTCGCTCTTGTAAAGGTAATAGCCAATGGGGCAGATTATTTTATGGGACAGTTCTACCCCCTTCAGTAGGGGTTGCTATGAGTCAGAATCCACTCAATAATACACAATGACAACATAGTATATACTATCTGTCTGGACCTGGGTATATGTATGGTCGTGGTGGTTATGTGCTGTGGAGTCGGTTCTAACTCATAACGACCCTGTATAGGGTTTCCGAGGCTATAAATCTTCACAGGAGCAGAAAGCCTCATCTTTCTCCCATGGAACAGCTGATAGTTTCGAACTGCTGACCATGAGATTAGCAGTCCAATTTGTAACCACTACTCTATCAGAGCTCCTTGGGCATATGTTTGTTGTTGTTGTTAGGTGCCATCAAGTCAGTGCTGACTCATAGCAACCTTATACACAGCAAAACAAAACAATGCCTGATCCTGGGCCAATCTCACTATCGTTGCCACACTTGAGTACTTCGATGCTGCCACTTGGCCAATCCGTCTCGCTGGGGTTCTTCCTCTTATTCGCTGACCTTCCACCTTACCAAACCTGATATCGTTAGCCTGCCTTTATCTCATTTTATCTTCCCAAATACCTAGCACTGGCTCCACAAGCCTGTTTAACTATTGTGGTGGCTTATATGGTGCTGTGATGCTGGAAGCTATGCCACTGGTGTTTCAAATACCAGCATGGTCATCTATGGTGTACAAGTTTCAGTGGAACTTCCAGACTAAGAACAGACTTGTTATTGTTAGTTGTTGGAGTCAATTCTGACTCATAGCTACCCTGTATAAGGTTTCTGAGGAGTGGTTAGTGAGTTTGAACCACCAACTTTGCAGTTCAAACCGACCTAGCGGTCAAGTGTTTATCCTACAGCGCCACACCAGGATTCCAAGAACAGACTAGGAAGAAGGAATAAACAATTCATCTCTGAGAGATTATCTCCTGGAAACCTTATGAACAATAGTGAAATAATGTCTTATATAGTGTCTGAAGATGACATGCCCCTCATGTTGGAAGGCACTCAAAATACAATTGAGGAAGAGCCTCCTCAGAGTAGAGTCGACCTTGATGATGAAGATGGAGCAAAGTTTTTGAGACCTTCATTTGCTAATGGGGCATGACTCAAAATGAGAAGAAACAGCTGTAAACATCCATTGATAATTGGAACAGGTAATGTATGAAGTATGAATCTAGGAAAACTGGAAGTTGTAAAAAATGAAATGGATGATGATCTGCTCTGTAAACCTTCACTCAATTTATAATAAAAAGTGTCTAAACAAACCATAAAACCCATAGGGGGAAACATGAAATAGAACACATAACGGTCTATATCATTAGTGAGTTGAAGTAGATTGGTATCGGCCATTTTGAATCCGACATTCATATGGTTCACTATGTGGGGAATGACAAATTGAAGAGGGATGGTGTTGAGTTCACCATGAAAAAGAACATTTCAAGATCTATCTTGATATACAATGTGGTCTGTGATAGGATACTATCTATATGCCTACAAGGAAGACTAACTAATATCACTACTCCACTATTATTCAAATTTGCATACCACCCACAAAATCCAATGATGAAGAAATTGAAGAATTCTACCAACTTCTTCAGTCTGAAATTAATCAATCATGCAATCAAGATGCATTGATAATTACTGTGATTGGAATGCAAAAGTTGGAAACAAAGAAGAGGGATTGCTAGTTGGAAAATATGGTCTTGATGATAGAAATGACACTGGAGATCACATGATGGAATTTTTTTAAAAAGCTTTTATTGTGAACTGAGTGATAGTTTACATGGCAGAGCATTTGGTTTCGCACTCAACCTATCATATTTTGTTTCATTGCAATGATTACAACCCCCTCCATGCACCATCAGTTAACAGTATTTGCCTCTATTCCCTCTTTCTTTTTTTTCTCTTCTTTTTGATGCACCCCAAAACACACAGGAATATATAATTGTTTAAACAACCAAAGGGCACATTTTGCAAGCCAACCTCCTGCCTGCAAGCACACAATCTTGCTCTTTCCTTGCATCTTGAGTACTCAGCTACTCTATCTCTCTATGCCATCACCTTTACCTCCCTCTCTGGTGTTGCTGCATCTCTGGTTAGGATCCCATGTTCTTGCTTATGCTCTTCCC